TGAATCTCGTTACCGGCAAGTCTCTTTACTCGTTCCGTAACACATCATCCCGTGATCAACTCCTTGATCACATTGTGCACATTATGATGGTGTCCTACCGAGTGGGCCCAGAGACACCTCTCCGTCACACGGAGTGACAAATCACAGTCTCGATTCGTGCCAACCCAACAGACACTTTCGGAGATACTCGTAGTGTACCTTTATAGACACCCAGTTAAGTTGTGACGTTTGGCACACCCAAAGCACTCCTACGGTATCCGGGAGTTGCACAATCTCATGGTATAAGGAAATGATAGTTGACATTAGAAAAGCTTTAGCATACGGACTACACGATCTAGTGCTATGCTTAGGATTGGGTCTTGTCCATCACATCATTCTCCTAATGATGTGATCCCGTTATCAACGACATCCAATGTCCATGGTCAGGAAATCGTAATCATCTATTGATCAACGAGATAGTTAACTAGAGGCTTACTAGGGACATGGTGTTGTCTATGTATCCACACATGTATCTGAGTTTCCTATCAATACAATTCTAGCATGGATAATAAACGATTATCATGAACAAGGAAATATAATAATAACCAATTTATTATTGCCTCTAGGGCATATTTCCAATAGCATGATCACTCATATTGACTTCCTACTGGACACACAAAAAATATATACATAATTAAGCAAACCATATCCATCAGTTAATGGGTTTGTCAGTTTTATTACGTCCATGCAACCTACACACTAATAGATAAAGATAGGTCCTAATCCCACCCGAGTATGTGTAGATTGGGTTTGTTTTCCCATGCTCTGCTCCGGATCGGACGCAAAATTTCGGCAGCACCTCCTAGATGTTCTCCTGATACATGTCTCGGCAATAAGCAGAGAGGATGTGTACCTGGAGAACAACAGGGAGGCACTGACGAAATTCTGCATCGGATCCGGAGCAGAGCATATGGGAAAACGAACCCAATCTACACATACTCGGGCTGTCCATGGATAACGTTGGACAATTCGAACGAATCACGATTACAAATATGCAAATGCATGCATATTTATAGATGTAACCCTTTCGAACGGGAGACGCATAGTAGTTACGCATACTGATGATTGACACCTATAGCTAGCAAGTTTCATCGGCACGAAAACCGGAACAGAGAAAATGAAGGGGGGAGGAGAGATGTCATTTGTGCTCACCAACAAACGCAGGGGCAGAGCTCGTCAAACACTAGACCCTCGCAGCGACGAAATAACTGCACATTTAAATCCAAAGATGAGTAACATAGCGACCACCGCTCGTCCCCGTGTAAACTAACTAGCAACTACCATCGGTGCAAGTTACATGAGGCGGTCGGCGTTGAGCACTAGGTCCACATCCCACAAGTGAAGCCGGCGCCCGGCATCACGCAACAATAGTTCTGATGGCCGTTGACGGTCGAACACCTTGGCGAATTTGCCTGGCAGCCTATGCCATGAGGATTAAAGCCAAGTTTTGAAATTTCAAACAACCAAACCGACTTGAGTTAGTTTGGGTGTTTCAAGTTTCAACACTTAGCTTTCAATCGTCATCTCTGAGGCTGTCAAACAAATTCGCAATGGTGTTCGACCGCCATCGACGCCGAGAACTGTTGCTGCTGGACGCAGGACCCCTGTGTCACTTATGGGACGTGGATGTAGTGTTCGACACCGACGGCCACATGTATCTCGCACCGACGATACTTGCTATTTAGGGTTCCATCGACACCATGGAACCCCTAACCCGCTCGTCCCCGGGCGCCCTTAGGTATGGCGACCCACTGGCTCCACCATCTATCCCCTCGGCAACCCTCTTCCTTTTTCCCTTTTTCCTCTTCTTCTACTTATTCTTCTTTCCCCTCCCTCCTCCTACTCCTCCTCCTCCTCTTCTTCTTTCTTCTTCTTCTTCTTCTTCTTCTTCTTCTTCTTCTTCTTCTTCTTCTTCTTCTTCTTCTTCTTCTTCTTCTTCTTCTTCTTCTTCTTCTTCTTCTTCTTCTTCTTCTCCCTCCTCCTCTTCCTCCCTCCTCCTCCTTCTACTCTTCTTCTTCTTCTAAACTAAAACTAAAACTAATCTAAACTAAACTAAACTAAAA